ACGATCTTCGAGTTTTATAAAACGATCTCTCGAGTTTTATAAAACGATCTCTCGAGTTTTATAAAACGATCTCTCGAGTTTTATAAAACGATCTTCGAGTTTTATAAAACGATCTCTTGAGTTTTATAAAACGATCTTCGAGTTTTATAAAACGATCTTCGAGTTCTTATAAAACGATCTTCTAGTTTTATAAAATGATTCTCGAGATTCATAAAACTGTTGCGTTTACGCGTTTGCGGGGAATTTTGGCTATTGATTCCGTCGTACCGATTTTGACCCCAACATGTATCATCTATACTCAGACTATATCCTAAAACCAAATACACTTGTGCTTTAAACAGTAATATGTTTATTAAGAATTGAGGGGCATAAAAATTTAGAGATACTGGTAGGGAAGCGATGGTATTGGTATCTCGTCAATATGATTATATTGCTTACGGTGGAGGAAACGAACCAGATTATTTGATATACTAGAAGTACGTCGGCGCTTCGCGCGGAAGAATTATATATATCTGCTATTTGTTTATATTTTAACGTGTTTTATTTTTTATTTATAGTGTAATATATTTCAAAATTTATCTTTTAATTATTAATATTTAATTTGTTATTTTTTTCTGTTGACACTTTTTTTCACATATGCGTATGTCCATTTCCAATACGGTAGTGAAAATGGGACTAATGTGTTAATAATACTATTTAAAAAAATAAAATCTACGGAAGTTAATAAACCTTTAAAAATTATGATGATGCATCTAATTTATAAAAAGTTTTTTGATGGGTGACAATCTAAGAAAATATAAAAGATCTCTTTTACTATTATATAGATTTACATTTTTAGCATTTTAGTGTATTATTGATATTTATTTTTCAAGTTTGAGTAGACATTATTATATTTCGTTGTGTTTCCAGTTTGGAAGTTTATCCAAATCTCCTATATATTAAAAGAGAATCATTTAAAAAGTTGTAACCTTAAGTTCGTAATAATTGAAAATAACTTCAATCGTATGTGGCATAGCTCTTTGTCTTTTATTTCAATTTAGAAGGTTTCAAGGGCTTGTAGTATAATGTATAGTCTAAAAATTATACTCTTTAGCAATATAATATTTCATAGGCTATAGTTGGTCTATATATCAAATATTTATTGTTTCGCATGCTTTCCTTAAAAAAAACCTACAGAATTACCTAATGTGATTAAAATATATATATGACAATTAATGGTTTTAAATAATAAAGATTTTATAACAGTCTGTATATTTTTTCTCATTTTGTTTATTTATTTATTATTAAAATAAATTACACAATTACATTAATCATATAATAACATTCTAGATTTTTTTGTGTATGTTGTATTTCAAATTTTTCAAAATTAGTATAAATTACTAAAACTGTTAAAAGTCTCACATAAACTTTTAGGATGAAGTTTTTAATTTTTTATATATTAAAATATAATGATTATAAGACAATATGAAGAAATAATTTTGGTTTATATCTATTTCATATCATTTAAATTAAACTACACATCGTATGAAAATACATACTTATATTTTTATATTTGTATTGAACATATATTGAAAAGTTAATATTTTAATTTTGAAATATGTCATTTTTTGAAAATGATTATAAATTATTGAAACTACTAAACATCTCACATTTAAAAAAATTCATTGGTGTAAATTTTTGTTACGCAAATATGCATCTAATCATAAAATCATATGAGTAGAAACCTCATTTAATAAATATTCATATTAAAATTGTACTATATTACTATGTTTATATCATTTAAATTTAATTATAAATCATATAAAATATATAAGATTGATTATTTTGATTTATTATCCTAATTGAGAATAAACAAGAGTGATAGTTATATTTATATGCATAAGTCAATTTATTACATAATAGTAACTGATTTCTTAGTTATTTAACATGTCTATTAATTATTTGAAAATAAATAAATATAAAATACTTATTGTGCATAAAATGCAAATCTTAATCTAAGTATGTATCTCTTTAATTATTTTAAATCTTAAGTATTTTCTAAATCCCAGGTCAAAACAAACAAACGAACTGAGAATAAACTTCAAAATAAATATTTACATCGAGTAATAACCAAAATTAAAAAAAAAATACAACAAGAGAAAAATTGAAGATAAATAGGATTGACACGTAAACGTAACTTTCTCATAACCATAATTAATTTTAAATTGTTAAATCATGATATAAAACTGAGTTAATTTTTAATTTGTTAATGTTTATATTTTTTAATTTTTTTAATAATTATTCTTATGTTAAATCATGATCATAATTTATTTTAAATTGTTTATTTGTATTTGAAAACTTAAAATATAATTTTTAAAAATACTTTAAAATTTAACCTAATTTCTTATAAAATTATTATTTTTTAAATATAATTTGTAAAAAATATAATTTTCTAATATTATTAGACAAATAATTAAATTATATTAAATTAGTTTTGAAACTTTATATATTTTAAATGCAAATATTTTACCAACTCCTTCTTAAAAAAGCATTAGATTTTGACATGCGCTTAAGATGCGCGGGTTTTGTTTTGGTTATAAGAACATTTATGAAATGATTAGATTAGTATTATATGAGAGTTTTATGTTTGAATGTGATGTATATTTAACCTTTTAGTTGAGTCTTTTAATTGGATTACGCATAACAGGGTCACTTTGTGATTGAACCGAGAATCCGAAAAACATTAATCCGAAAGACATTAAGAAAGATAGCCTTGTAACATAAAAAAACATTAGGTTCAGCATTCCAGTTCAAAATATTAAAAAACACAGGTTTTGTAAACCAGACAGCAGTTAAAAAGTTCATAGACATAACACCTTCAAACATAAGAGATGAGGACAGAGATAACTAAACGCCACATTTGTGGCTCTCTAGCTTTTCCCAATCGATACTGGGAACCTTCACATCAGCAAGACGGGCATGAGCAAGAGCAAGTTCCTTTTCCAGCTTGTCCTTAACATGGTTCATAACGCCATCGTTGAAGATCTCATCAAAGAGTTCAAGTTTACCGGAAATGCGATACACTTCCACCTCAGCATTATGCTTCGCAACAACGGCTTCATGAAACCTCATGTACATGTTAAAGAATCCTTCGGTAATTATTAGTCCTATCATTCATTTCAGACGTGTAAGCCTCTTGCAACATTGATCCATGAAACTGGTGCAAAGACATACTTAAATAGTGATCTGCATGTTTATATAAATGGAAATAAGAACTTAGACAAAAAAAATGATATATAACACCATCAAAACATTTAACTCTCAATGAAGATATTAAAAGAGACTATATATATGAAAGATAACCATTTGTCATGACAGAAATCTTAAAAAACTTAAGCGGGGATCTTATCAACTCTCATTGATCGGTTAATACATGATCTAATGGCTGCTATAATCTTATACAAAATAAACAACATGTTTCGTTCAACAATGAAAGATCTAAAAAAATAGGTAACAAAGTTTGATTCCATATGAAACAGAGGAAAAACTAAAGGAGATTGCAATATACTAATATGTTGATAAGAGGTGATAGAGATTCCACAGGTACTTGCACTATAGATTACAAAAAAAAAAAGATAACTTACAAATTTGTTTTCTTCTGGTTTGCTGAGAAAAATCTGGAGAAAAAAAGATTTTGATAGGAGACGGTAGAGTTTCCACTTTATAGAAAGAATAAAACCGAGCTTTGTATAGTTCCAACACTTCATTTAATAACCTATATTTTTGTCGAAATTAATTGTATTTTCCATTATTGAGCTTTTATTTTTGCACGTTACCCATATTTCTTAAAAAAAGCTTTAAATATTATAAAACTTTTAACTGATAAAAGCTATCATATTATGTGAATCTATGCGAAAATTAGTTGGATATGATTTTTGTATATGAAATTGGATTGGATCAAGCGAAAGCCCATAGTAAACTTGGTCACATTCTTACTATAAATTGGATGTAAACATAGCCCATTTACAAATTTTAATTAATTCTCTCATAATAACATCTAAGATTCAAAACAAATAGTTTTAAAAAGGAAGATGATTCTGAAGATAAACCATGATCTAAAATGAAAAATGACAATACAAAATAGTGTAAAATTTGAAATATTTAAAATAGTATTACAAAAGCCTTATCCTATTTAAACAATCTACTGCGTAGATAATCTCAAAAGAATATTAATAAATTATCCTACTATTATATTTGATTTTTGCATGTAGAAAAGAAAGTCAAAAACAGTAATGATTATCTTGCATTGATAAACTCAATATATATATATATATATATATATATATGAAATCTTTTGGTGCCAAAATCTAGTTTTTACTAAAATGTCAAATCATTACGTCTTGGAAAGAACATCATTGAAGTATAAACCATAAAAGAAGCGTGTTTTGGAAGTTGAGATATTTGTCAATCATATCAAAATCACATTTCAGAACTCTCAAAAAAAAAATAATAACAAACATATATCTATACTATTAAGATAACAAAATAAGAAAAAGTTACCAGTTTAAAAATCTAGTAGTTGTTTAATAGTGAGGGCCTTAATACTGCGTATCTAATCATTAAACCTAACTAAAACCATTTTCTGTGAAGAAAAATAAAACTAAAAAGCCATAAATATGAATAAATCAAGCAATAAATAAAGTAAGAAGAGTAAATGAAGCAATAATAAACATTAATAATAAAGTCTTTAATTAAAACACCGGTTGAAACAACCGATATATAAAGTTCAACTTAAACAAAATAAAGTTTTAAAATAAACTTAAACATTTAAGTTTGAGATAGGGTTCCCATTAGATGCTCAGTCATACATCATTGTTTCACCCAGCTTGAACCAATCTATAGGCGGAACACGAACATCTTCAAGTTTGGATTCGGCAAGGGCCAGTTCGAACTCTGTCTTCTTCTTTCATGGTACATGGAAAAAAGAGACTCACATTCATGGAGGAACTCAAGTTTTGCCTCTAGGCGAACCTTATTGAGTTCAACCAAATGCCTTTCTTCAATGCTCTTGTCTGGTCTCGACACATAATCAACATAGCCCTGTAATGCTTCATGGTGTCGAACTTACCCCTCTGGTAAGCATCCTTCGCAATTTGTGATTCTTCCTCCGTGAGTGGACCTTTCATTTTGAGATCTCTGTTGCCTGCCATTAAGATACTTCTCAATGTTCAAGAAAAAAATCAAAATTTAGAGAATAAATAAAAACAAATAAGGAAATATAATAAACCCTATGGGGGGGGGAGCGTAGCATCAAGAGTTAGTGGGCAATTGATGGTGAACTCCAGGCGACACATCGTGTTTCAAGGATAAGGTTTAGTGGGCTCTATAACTATCATGAAACTTTAGATATATAGCAGCTAGTCCATTGACACAAATAAAGCCCATTCAACATAAATAAGCGAGAGAAGTGTTTCGGTTGATTATATAAAGCTGACGTGCCACAAAACGCTCCTTTCTCTTTTGCTTAGCTGGACACTCTAAGAGTATCTCTAATGTATTACTCCATTTTCTACTCCAGAAGAATATTTTTAATATATTATGTTTTATATTTATTTCAAAATTAGTAATATCACTTTTCATTTATACTATTTGAAAAACAGTCAATTTTCAATTTATAGCATTTCTATTAAATACAATATTAACCACAATTAAATTTTTATTATCAAAATAAAACATTTAATACATTAAAAATTACATTATATAGCTTAAACACAATATAATACATCAATTCTAAATTATTTATTAGAATTAGAATAATTTTCCCACAAATGATCAACTAATGCATTTTGAAGTAAAAAATGAGCTTCTTTATCTTTGATTTATCTGAAACGGGAAAGAAACTCTTGGAATTTCATATTATTATTTCTTTCAATTTCAACTTCCCTAGGCAGAACTTTTTTTTCAACTTCAATTGGCACCTCAAGATCACAATCATCTTCTATTATCATGTTATGTAAGAATTTAATAATATTTTATCAGATTATTTTAATAATTTTAATGGATCCGAAAATGATTTATCGGATTATTAAGAAATTATCTTTGTTGTAAGTTTTATTTTATGTTATTTCTTTTGTATGGTGCTTATCTTTTATTTTTTATATGCATGATCTTGTATGTTTTATATTATATATATTTTGTTGCAATAAAGAGTTCATCAGATGGTTATTTCTATAATTAAGAAATATTAACAGTAAATTTTATAATATATATAGTAAAATAATATTAACATACATATTTATAATAATATTTTATTAAAAACGAGGCTATTTATATAATTAAGAAATATTAACAGTAAATTTTATAATATATATAGTAAAATAATATTAATATACTTATCTATAATAATATTTTATTAAAAACAAGGCTATTTATATAATTAAGAAATATTAACAGTAAATTTTCTAATATATATAGTAAAATATTATTAATATACTTATTTATAATAATATTTTATTAAAAAAAACATATATAAATGTGAAGAACTATTTGATAAATAAAAAAGTTTAACTCCATTTTGGAGTAATGAGTTGGTTTACTCCATATTTGGAGTATTTATGTTTGTTACTCCATTTTGAAGTGGATTTTGGAGTAGGGTTGGAGATGATTTTACTGCAAAATGAAGTTTGGAGTGGGTTTTGGAGTGGGGTTGGAGATGCTTTAAGGAGAGACAAGTGAACTTTCTTATATAATATATGATTTCTTAAAGGACAGAGGAATTTTTGTGAAAGCTCTCACCCCATGTCTATATATAATTGATGATCATGTAGTGGGTCTCGTTGATTAAATGGCATTATTACAGACGTTTCTAAGATAAATCAATGGGGGGAGCGTAACATCAGGAGTTAGTGAGCGATTGACGGCGAACTCCAGGCGAGACATCGTCTTTCAAGGATAAGGCGTAGTGAGTGGCCGTGAAAGGACGGCGTACGCAGAAGAGACCTCTGGGAGGGACCTGCGGGATAAGAAATAGGCGCCTTAAGATCGAGTCAAATATGGCTATTAAGACCGGGGTGGCAGACAGTGCTGGGAGCCAACGAGCTGCAACTCGGATAGTCATTTAAGAAGCTGTAGGGGGGACGGATTTCCCGAGAGAGGGCGCCCCTTCCAGGTTAGGCCGGAACGTGTAGGGACATCCGTAAACGGCCATAGGTCCTTAAGTTTAGGTTGATTGAAGAGTCTAGTTTATAGATTGTTTGCATGATTGAATCCATGTGAAGCAATGACTGAGTTCTTGCGGTGTATGAATGTTAGAGTGTTAGAATTCCATGTTGAGATGTTGTTGTATGGTTTGTATGTTGCATATTGAATGTAGTGGCTGGTCGGTCATGTTTCCGTATGAGGTAGTGTAGAGAATTATGCGAGCAGGCTGGCTAGAGTCACTTCACTGAGTAACCCCAATTGCTCATCCCTCCATTTTCGTTTTCCCTATGCGCAGGACTATATGTAGAAGTATGTGGATATGGGTGGATCGAACTTCATTAAAGATGCGTCCGCCGACTCCTGGGACCAGTAAGGACACGTAGGGTTGTCTAATTGAGTAGATACGTGTCTGTAGCACCCGTTTGCTGAACCCCGGTCAGACGCCGGGGGAACGGGGTGCTACAATCTGATGTTTACTCTTTCAATCTTTTGTTGTTTGATCGTCTGCTCAGATTGTCTTGCATGCAGGAATAAAATCTTTTACATTCCTTTTGGTGGGCCTATTTAATTAGGTATGGTGGAGTTTCTTCTGTAGATTGATGATTTGAGATGGAAAACTTGGGTTCAGAGCTTCATAAGCTTATCTAATGGCGACAAAAACAACGAAGGTAGAAAGACTCTTAATCACTCTCTTACCAAGTCTGAAACCCATTATGTTCTCCCATGATATTTTCTCTTTCTCTGAGACTCTAGCAGAGCTATGCAGGCTCTATTTCGTTGGGTCAGAATTGCTTCTCTGGTTTTGGGCAGATTTGGCTTTAGTTTTCTCACTAATATCCTAAGGTCTTCCCTGCTCAAGAATTTCATAATTTAGGTTAAAAAGGTCAAAATACAACCTAAATGTTCAACAGGTCAAGTGTGATGCTTCTTAAATGTATTCAGATTGATTTGAGGCTTGGTAAAGTCACTGACAAAATAGATAAGATTGCAGTGAAGGACGTTGGATTACACACTGAAGGACGTTGCAGCTAAATAGATGTATCTCGACGATGGAACTATGACGGTTCGTTGAACTGCCTGTACCGTCTCCGTTCATTTTTCACGTGTAAAGACGTGTGCCTTTTTTTTCTTCAATCCTTAGCAATAGATTGTCCCAAAAATCGTAGTTTTTGTATAGGATAATATAGTTTTTTCTGGATTTTAAATGTACTTAACATATACAAAATCCAAACAGATAGTACTACGTTGAGAGAATTGTATAAACACATTCATGTGTACACTAATTCACATTTACCTTAAGAAGGGGGATATTTTCAAAAATACACTTTTCACTAAAGGATAAAAGATTCTTATATCTCTGTTCTTTATATATATAAAACAAATAAAAAACTCAAAAAACAAAAAATATTGTTATAAATTTTCTCGAAATTATACTACTTCGAAATTCAAAACCTAAACCCTAAACTCTAAACCCTAAAAATCAACCCTAAACCCTAAATTATAAATTCTAAACCCTAAAACCTAAACTCTAAGCCCTAAACCCTGAATTCTAAACCCTAAAACCTAAACCCTAAACCTTAAAATCTATACCCTAAACCCTAAATTCAAAATCCTAAACTCTAAACCCTAACCCTAAAATTATAAACCCTAAACCCTAAATTCTATACCCTAAAACCTAAATTCGAAATCTTAAACACTAAATTCTAAATTCTAAACCCTAAACTTTAAATTCTATACCCCAAACCCTAAACCCTAACCCTAAAATTATAAACCCTAAACCCTAAATTCTATACCCTAAACCCTAAATTCGAAATCTTAAACCCTAAATTTTAAACCCTAAATCCTAAATTCTAAACCCTAAACCCTAAATTTTAAACCCTAGACTCTAAGTCTAATTTTTTAACCTTAAATCCTAAATTCTTAAGTCTTAACCCTAAATTCTAAACTATATATTTTCTATAAAATTAATTAAGGGTAATATGGCATTTTACTATCAAAACTTTAAGTGTAAAGATGATTAATGTAAAATTTACATAGTGTATCATGAATGTGCTAGTTTTAGGAATTTGCCTACTAAGTTTTTGTTTTGCATACATATTTTAAAATATGTTTTGTTATAATGAATCAGCTATTCCTTTTAGGATCATATAAATCATCCTTTTTAACAAAATAAATTATCTATGTTTTTGTGTTAAATGCAATCCAATTGATTAGAACAATCTATATCAAGTATAAATAAAATAATTACGTTTTCATGATGTTTTAATAGTCAAATAAATATGTAAATTATAAAGACTATCATAAAACAAAAGTAAAAGTTGTTATAGAAAAATAATGAAAATTAATGTTACATATGATATAATTGAGAATAACTATAAACTATAAAAGTTATGAAATTTTAATTAAATTGATGTTAATATAAAATGAATATTATTGTAAGTTTTGTGAATATGAAATGTAAGGTTATCTTATTCAGTTAAAATTATATTTTATTCCCTTAATAATTATATTTTAAAATTAAATGTTAAAATTTCAGTTATATTAAATAAAATTTAAATATATTTATATATCTATGCTAATAATTATTTAGTAAAGCAAAAACTATAGTATTTCAATTTTTTTATAAAGCATGCTTATAATATATATTAAAATATAAAAATATATATTGGTTGATTTTAACATTAACAATTATTTGAATTATATGTTAATTTAACAACATTTTCATAAAATTCAAATAAACAAGTTAAAAGAAAAATAGAATTTGAAATAATTCTTTTTCTTCAATTGAAATAAGAAAATGAATTTTTTTTTTAATTTTAGTCACAAATAATAATAAAAAAAAAATATTTTTTTAATAGTTTATATAAATTATTTATTCTAAGTTTAGAATATATAGTCAAATATACTCTATAATAAACTAAACAAATTTAAAATATCTGAAGCCCGGGAAAAGTCTCTAGTTACAATAAAACCACTGTTAAGATTTGGGTACTAATTTTGCATATAATTA